CTACATTTCTCATATAGTTCAGCAGTGAATCCATCAATACCTGGGCTTTTCTTTGTTAATAAGTTTTTAATTACAGCTTCAGTTTATTGACTGATATTGGGTTATTTAGAATTTTTATGTCTTCTTATTCAGCTTTGTTAATTCATATGTATCTAAGAATCTGTCCATTTCTTCTGTGTTTTCTATCTTCTTACAATAAAGTTTCTCAAAGTAGGTGTTGATGATCTGTATTTCCAGAGGATCTCTTTGAATTTAACCTTTTAACTCTTAACGGTATGCATTTGAGTATTTTCTTTCCTTTTTTAATAGTTGGCTAAGAGTTTGTCATTTGTATTTAATCTTTGAAAGAAAAATCTTCCATTCATTTTTTTCTTTGTATTGTTTTCTTAGTCTCAACCACATTGATTTCTGCTCTAATCTTTATAATTTCCTCCCTTATGTGAGTTTTTGGCTTGATTTATTCTTCTTTTTCTAGATAGTTGAGTTTTTGTGTTTGGTTTCACTTGTTCTTCTTTTTCTAGATATTTGAATTTCAACATTAGGTTGTTTATTTCAGCTTGATCTGTTTTGCTGATGTAGCAGTTCATCACTGTAAATTTCCCTCATAGTACAGCATTCATTATGTGCCATAAGTTCCAATATGCTGTATTGGCATTATCTTTTAATCTTATATACTGCCTAATTTCTTCTTTAATTTCATTTTTGACCAATTGATTTTTCAGGAGGGTGTTAGGTAAATTCCATGTGTTTATGTAGTTTTTGAGGTTTCTTTTGCCACTGATTTCCAATTTGATTACACTATAGCCATGGTGACATGGGACAATTTCAATTCCTTTGCATATACTTAAGCATGTTCTATGAGCTAGTATGTGCCCTATTTTGGAGAAAATCCAATGTTCGGCTAAGAGGAACATGTATTCTGATGTTGTTGGGTGGAACGCTCTGTAGACATCTACTAAATCCATTTGTTCTAGGGTTGGTGTAGTTTTAATATTTCTTTGTTGATTTTTTTTTCTCTAGTTTACCTATTTTTGATGGAGGGGGATTGAAGACTCCCATTACAGTTGTGTTAGTGTTTATTTAGTTTTTCATATCCATTAATGTTTGTTTTGTATAGTTGAATGTGTTAGTATTTGGAGCATATATATTTATGATTGTTATCTCTTCTTGGAGTTTTCCCTTAACAAGTATGTCAGAATCTTCTTTGTCTCTTGATCAACCTTGTCTTGAAGTTCACTTTATCTGCAAATTGAATACCTATCCCTCATTTTTTCTGATTTTGTCATATGGACTATTATTTTCCATCCTTTGGCTTTCAGTCTATGAATTTCTTTTTTAATTATATGTGTTTCTTGTATGCAGGATATTTCTGAACCTTGTTTCTTGATTTATTCTGCCAGTCTATTACTTTTGATTGAATTGAGACCATTTACATTGATGGTTATAACTGATATGTATTGACTTATCCTTGTCATGTTATTTTCCTGTTCTTGGTTCCCTGTCTTTCCCCTTTGTTTAATTGCTTGCCTTTTCTGATGGATTCTTTATATTGATGTTCATGGAAATGTAGTCTTCCTTACCACTTTTTAGAATGTCTTTCAGAATATTTTGTAATGCTTGTTTGGCCAAAAAGATATATTATAAGTTAATCTATAATATATTGTTTACTGATATCTGCTGGTTAATCACATGTAAATGTCCATCCTCTGAGACACAGTTACCTCGGTCAAGTTATTTCTTATTGTGTTTTCTCAAAATTTCTGGTATTTGAAATCCATATTTATCAAAGCAGGACATTCTCTTTTGATTTCAACAATATTTCTCCAATTAAAAAGCTCTGTCTTTGCCCTGGCAATAAATTTCCTCCCAAGACACTGAGTCCTCCTTAGTTCAAAAGAGGAACTATTTTCTTGCTTATGAATCACAAGGCCTCTTGAATTCTGCTCATTCAGAATGTTATGTTTGAATTCCTTCTTTGCTACCTGGACATTTATCTTTTTATTTTGTTATAATTTCTTTTCATTACATGAAAAAATTTTACCTTGTATTATGTATGTACTGATACTCTGTACTCTGCATCTATTATTTTTAATGTTAAACTGAATTGGATTAAGATGGTAAAGAAAGACAGCCATCAAAAAAGATGAATGAGTCATTTGTAGGAAAGTGGATGCATCTTGAGACCATCACGTTAAGTGAAATAAATCAGACACACAAGCTTAAATATCCCGTGGTTTCTCTTATACAAAAAACTGAAATTATAAATAAAGAGCAAAATAAAAGATAACAGGATGTAGGGAGGCAGACCTTTTTCAAATTAAAAAGGTTGAGAGAAAGAAGAAAGGGGGATGCAAAAGGAATCAAGATGAGTTATTTACACATACCAACTCCACACAAGGAATGTAAACATTATGTACTGCAAATAGGTACTAATAAAATTTTTTAAAAGGTATCAGAGGCCATCTTGTCATAAACTTCAAATAATACATTATAAAGTCATGTAGAAACAAGACATGTCATTAATTGAGATGATAAATGTATGCAATCTTTGAAGTTCTTAAATGTAAGAGGTGGTAAAAGAAACACTAATATGGAAGAGCATCTCCACTGATAAATGAATGGTTAAAATCTGACCACATGTGCTGAGCCTTAGGCACATCTGCACTCTGCTGCCTTGTAGGGATGTGGTAATGGAATTAATACTTCAATTAAAAGTGACGAAACATTCAGTTCAAAGTTCCTTCATGTGAAGATCACTATTGTGACAAAATATTAAGTGTTTATCAAATTCATAGCAGAATTTTTGACCACAGGGATCATAAAAAGCAGATTAGAATTTTCCGTGCTAAGTATAAAGATAAAAATTAAATTTCTGTGAATTTAATGTTGTATAAGAAAATGTTGCATTTTTCTAATATTTAGCTCACATATACAATTACATTGTTGATACCCATATGTTTAAACTATATTTTCATATTTAATATATAGACCAGGGTTCTAGATACCATGAAGTAGATGATGAATTATTACTTTTAATTTGTAAATAAAAAGTAATGCTGCATCCTATTAGGGAAGTGTTTTGTGTTTTTTTCAGTCAAAGTCCCTGAATGGAGATAAGCAAGAACAATGGAGATAAATGATGGAGTTCATTGGGACTCAAGTTTCAGAAAACCACCGATCCTGACCCTCCACCTCCATAACCTTGGGCTTTAAGGGGATGTCCTTCTGGGATTATAATAATAGCAAAAAATAGTATAATGAGAACCTTTGGATATTGAGCACCCAAGGGATATAAAGTCTGCAAGGGTCAGCCAGTGAAAACATCACAATACATTCCTGCTCTGATGAGAAAGCCACCCCTGAACCTCCTCCCATAGATGACACTTCCTGTCAAGTATCTCACTCACACATTTAGTCTGTCTGCTTTTCCTGAGGACACATAATCCATCTTCAATATTCAGGTATGATGTTGAGCATCATTCATCTTGAAACCAAACCGGGAACATGAAATCCCTTCATTGATAATTTAGAAATGAGGCTAGATGTTTTAAGTAGGTTCATTCTGGGGAAGAAAGCAAAAAGGACACACTTGGGTTAATGAGAAAATGTCCCCATGACTCTGCTGTCAACTCCTTCCAAGTTGATACAATGTCATATATGATTTGTGATAAAAATATATGGTGACTGTTTTCATTTTAAAAATTCATTACAGTAAAAAACATATTGCCATCAATCCCCTTTGAATTACTCACACTGGCTTCAAATACACTTAAACCACTTTTAAGTTTTTAATTTTTTGAAAATGTTATTAGTACATGTCTGTGATACATAATGATTACATTCCTCGTGTAGAGTGGTTACATTTGCATAACACATATTAATTCTTTTATCATCCCCTCCAATCCTTCCCCGCTTTTACATCTCTTGGTCATATTCTATTTGAAAAATATCTGTCTCCCTGACTGCTATTATCTAATTTTTATTTTTCTTTTTAATTGATTTAAACTTTGGGTTTCTCTTATAAGAGAGTAGCTATGCTGTGTCCTCATCCCCTTACTCACCAGATTAGGCAATGAGGAACTTTTGGTTTTCTTAAAATTTAAAATGAACATGAAAGATGAATGCTTTGAATTAATGCAGGACATTGAGGCAGTTATGGTAGTGGAATTACACACACTTGAGAAATAGAGCACACAGAACAAAAAGTGTATTTGAAATGAGGGGTAGTATTTTGAAGGTGAGTATTGGCAATGTACCTTTCATTGTAATATACTTTTCAAACTTAAAACAGTCACTGAATTTTTTATCATGCTTTATATGTTTGCACTGATGCTCCTTAGCTACTCATTCTGCTGGACTTTCACTTTGCTAAAGATATGTCCTACCTCCTTCAGAGAAAATTTGCCCTTTTTTCAAGCCTAATGACTTTGTAAAAATTAATTTTATTGGTACATTTTAGGTATACAATATAATGACATTTCTCATTGGAAATTTGTACCTTTAAATAATGTATATTGGTTCTTATTTTTTCCCTATTCCCCTGCCCTCCCTTCAACCCCTCCACCCCTCCCTATAAATAAGGATCAAATGGCATAATAAATAATTTTAAATAGGAAGAAAAGGTCCAAAGGGGAAAGGGACATGAGAGGGGCTGGGGAAAGGAAAGAAAAGAACAGAATTAATATGAGAAAAGGAAAAAATGGAAACAGTCTATGACTTTTATAAAATAATTTTCCATTCATTATTTTTCTTTTGCATGTGATAGGAAGAGAGATTTGTGAGTGTAATACTTATTAGAGTGTGTCATAAACAAATTCCTCACAATGGAAGAGTTAGTAACAAAAAATTATTTATTCATAATTGTGAAAGCAAAATCCAAAAGATCAAGAAAGATGTACACGGGATGATATTCTAACACATTACCCTGTTACATGTAGCTTCTGCTGGTCTATACATTTTGTTACCTTTTCATCACTTCTTTCAGATCAGATCATCAACTCATGGAATCTAGAAACCAAACAGCTGTCTCAGAATTCCTTCTCCTGGGACTGACAGATGATCCAGAACTTCAGCCTCTCACCTTCAGCCTGTTTCTTTCCATGTACCTGGTCACCATCTCTGGAAACCTCATGATCATCCTGGCTGTTAGCTCTGACTCCCATCTCCACACTCCCATGTACCTTTTCCTTGTCACTCTGTCCTTTAATGATATCTGTTTAAGCACAACATCAGTCCCACACATGTTGGTGAACATCCAAACACAGGATCAGAGCATCTCTTACTCAGGCTGTCTCACCCAGGTCTCCTTAGTGTTGGTTTTTGGTAATTTTGAAAGTTGTCTACTTTTAATAATGGCCTATGATCGCTATGTGGCCATCTGCCATCCACTTAGGTACACAGTCATCATGAACCTGCACTTATGTGTTTTACTGAGCCTAGCCTCTTTGTCTATTAGCATTATGTATGGACTACTCCATGGTCTACTGTTGCTGAGGCTGTCCTTCACAGACCTAAAAATCCCCCACTTTTTCTGTGAACTTGCACAGATTATCAGACTCACTTGTTCTGATACTCTCATTGATAACATAGTAATATATGTGGCAGCTTGCATCTTTGGTGCTTTTCCTGTGTTTGGAATCATGCTTTCTTATATTTACATTGTGTCATCTATCTTGAGAATGCCATCAGCAGAAGGAAAGTATAAGGGTTTTTCTACCTGTGGTTCTCATCTCTCAGTTGTCACCTTGTTTTATGGGACAGGTTTGGGTGTGTACATTAGTTCTTTAATAGCTAACTCATCCAAAAAGGCTGCAGTGGCTTCAGTGATGTATTCTGTGGTCCCTCAGATGATGAATCCCTTTATCTATAGTCTGAGGAACAGGGATATGAAGGTATCTTTGTGGAAGCTTATTGTTAGAATAGATCCTCTTCTATTGTATCATTTGCTTGGACATGTGTGTAGTTTATTCAAAATAAAAGGTGTAGGGAACAGGAAAAGGGGGCATTTCTAGAACCTCTGCAGTAAGACCTAGTCTCCTGTGAGCCACAAATGCACAAGGTGAATTCACTCATACAGGAAAGGTCGAAAAAATGAGATGTTGAGAAAAAGCTGAGCTTTGGGCCTGATCAATGGTGCTATGGGCAGCAAAGATGAAAGCCCCTGAGCTTGCTGCACTTTTATTCAGTACATGGGGAGAAACAAATGTAACAAATGACTCTGACAGAAAGTTCAGTACATGGGGAGAAACAAATGTAACAGATGATGGGGGCAGAATTCCTAGATGAATGAGGAACTATGCAGATGAAGATTTTGTTCCTCCCAGGATGTCTTCAGCTGGTGTAATCTTGTCCTGGAGCATCACAACATCACTGGACCATTAAAGTCTTAGCTGTGACTGGAGGCCAAAATAGAGTTATGTCTCAAAATACCTTAGCTGGTCTGTAGGCAGGAGAACTAGGCCTAATCAAATGATTTTTCTCCAAAATGATGTAGAATTGCTCCTGACAAAAAGGTACCTGTTGAATAAAATATCATGAACTATAATGACTAGAAATGTAATGATCAAGTACCTTACATCACAGATTCAATCCTGACATTACTTTTTATCCAAGAAAAAAAAACCTTGCCATTAATAAACTCATACAACTAAGAGAATCACCTTTCATTACAAGGACTTCTGAGGCAGGGAATCTACTGGAAAACAGTAGGACTTCATTCAGTCTTCTGTGAAAGTTGTCACCCTGGTCTGCTTGTCATCCATCTGGATGACTAAGTGACCACAGGAAATGCATTTGTCAGGTGTCACACCCACTCTGAATCAGAAACAGAAAGCTGCGTATCTTTCCCCGGGTTCCTTCATCAGCTACTTTTTCATGGGTTAACCAGACTACATCTCTGTGGTGCATTAAATGGTGGTCCTCAGTACACCTTCAGATCCTGTCCCACTGATTTAAGATAATCTTATGTGATAAATGAATGGATGGTTGTGTTTGGAAAAGAGATTTGCAGATAAAGGGTGTGTCCTGCACTGTCTGATGAGACCCTCAGGTTTTTCTAATAAGACAGTAAGAAAGGTAGAAAATACAGAAAAGAAAGAAGCACTGTACCCACCCACACAGGAATGGATTGATGCTGCCAGTATTAGACTGTCAATATTTGATCAATTTTTGCCATATGAAACTGTCATTTTTTTAGAAATCTCATGCATTTTCTCAATCTTCTATATATTTCTATGCAATTTATTTAAACAAAAATGTTTTTATTTGACTGTGTTAAAGTTTAAATTTAACAGATGAATTCCATATCTTGTTATTCCTTTCATTGTGCTAATTGAGTTAACACAGTGGTTGCATTCATTTATTTTTAAAGCTCTAAATGTTTCCATTTTACATAACATTAAAGATGAGGAACATTTCTTATGTTGATGAAATTTTGGTTGCTATTTTTCTGTTATAGTAAATAAACTTGTTGAATATTCTGCATATTTTCTTGAGGAAATAAATGAGTGCTTAATAATTGGAGTTGAATTTTGGGGTATTTTTCAACTTGGGATTGGTACAAAGAGATTTTCTAAGTGGTTCTTTCCCTTTAGAGATTCCTTGGTGGTCTACATCATCCCTCAAACATTTTTCTTTACTCTGACAGTGGTTTCTGTGGTTGTCCTTCCACAGAAATTTAAAAATCCCCCACTTTTGTGAGCTTGCCCAAATTATCAGGCTCCCTTATTCTGAAACATCTATTAGTAATATAGAAATATATGTTACAGCTTGCATCTTTGGTGCTGTTCTTTTGTTTGGAAACAGGTCTTCTTTCACTCACATTGCATCATCCATCCTGAGAGTGCCATCATCAAAAAGAATGTATAAGAGCCTTTCCACCTGTGGGTCTCACTTGTCAGTTGTCAACTAGTTCTGTGGGACAGGTTTGGGGGTGTACATTAGTTCTGCTGTGACTGACTCAGCTTGGAAGATTACAGTGACTTCAGTGATGTATTCTGTGGTTCCTCAAATGCTGAGTCCCTTTGTCTACAGCCTGAGAAACAAGGACATAAAGGAAGCCTTGAGGAGGCTCCTTTATAGAAGAACTTCTCTCCTCTAATGCTCATTTGCTTTCAACTCCAGTTTTCAGAGTAAGTCGTGGCAACAAGATTCTGGTAAGCCAGAATACCAGACACTTGCCTCACTTTATTCTTCTCAAATGAGGAGGTGGTGTAAAAAACATGTATATTTTAGCATGGGTGAAACCCATCTTATCTTTTTAATCTAGCTCTGTGATATTTGACTCATTTGTGCTTGCTTTGGCAGCACATATACTAAAATTGGATATTTGACTCATTATTTCAACTCTGAGCACTGTTTTATTTTTTATCATTAAGTTTATTGGTACATTTTAGGTGTATAACACAGTTACATTCATCTTTGGGATGTTGGACCTTTACATGATGCATCTTGGTTCTTACTTTTTTCGCCATTCCCCTGCCCTATCTTCATCCCTTCAACCCCTCCCAATTTACAAAGACTTCATTTCCATTTTTTCCTTTTCTCATACTAATTTATTTTCCCTTATTTTCTTTCCCCTTACTCCCTTAGCTCTTTTCTTCCTATTTCAATGATCAATTATACATTTTGATCCTTATTTATACTTTTAGTTTTCACTAGAGAAACTATTTGGTATTTACACATGTGTGTCCTATTTATTTCACTTGAGTATCACCTCAATTTAGCTATAATTATCTCTAGTTTCTCATTCTTTATAGCTGAGTAGTATTCTATTTTATACAAAAACCACATCTTCTTTATCCAGCCTCCAGTTCATGGGCAATTAGACTGTTTCCATGAGCAATGTTTTCTTATTAGTATGTGTTTTTAATACATAATAATTATATTTACCTTGAGCAATTGGGATATATAGATAATTTATCACCATCATTTTCGTCTGTTCTACTCTCTGTTGCCCTCCACTCCATTTCTCTAAATTTCATCCCATTACTACAGAGTCTAACTCCCTGATTCCTATCATCTCTCTTTTACTTTGCTTATATTTGAGTTTCACATAATAGGAAAACCATTTGATAGTCATCCTTCTGTTTCTGATTCATTTCACTTGGCATGATGGCCTCAAAATTCATCTATTTTCCAAAAAAATGACTCAAATATATCCTTCCTTATATGTGAATGGCAGAATTTAGTTTTTCTTTTTCCACAGATGCAGAGCTTAAAGCAGGGTTTGTGGTTTCAGCAATTTTCTGTCTTGTGTATGGTCATGAAAGAGTGAATTAGTGAAACAAAAGATGTCAGGGAAGTTATTTAAGAAATTTTGTGATTATAACTAGAAAATAGCTTCTACACATTGAATGTGTTGGGGGCAAACTGCATCATACTGTTAGTCCCACCAAGGAGCAAAAGAGTGGATTTCCATAACCCATGAAGTAATTACTGAGAGCTATTAAGGGTAACTCTATGCTTCTGAGGCAAAAATAGTATCCACCATGTTTAATCCATTGTCTTTAGAATTAGTATAATTAGGTATTGGTTGCAACAGATGATTTTAACAATTTTGAAACTCATCATTCAAGATGGCCTTTTTCCTAAAAAGAAAAACTATACTATTAATATTCTCAAAGAATAAAGAGAACTTCACTTTCTTCCCATTCTTCAGAGGCCAAAGACACACTGGATTAGAGCAGCATTTAATTCACTTCTCCTGAAGTGCCCTCATTCTGGTATTGTTTCTCCTTCACATCCCCAGGTGATGACAGCTAATGTAGTTGTTACCTCTGGACTCAATGAAAGTGACAAGAAACTGAGAGCCTGTTCCAGAGTGACTTGATAAATACATTTTCCAAGGATCAACTGGATTATACCTATGTCAGTCTGAATGGTGACACTTAAAACACTATCTTCATTTGTGATTAAATGATAGATAGGTGAATATTCCTTTCTTTGCAAAGGGAATTTTTTTAGCAAGAGAAAAATATAATGGAATATTCAGATGAGCTTTATATGCAGTCACACATTTTTTATGACACAGAATAGAAAACACACAGTGCAAAGTGGGTGTTGCTATAACCGTGGAGATAGGAATTGTGTAGATGTAGTGAGCTTTTAAATGTCAGAATTGGATCATTTTTCCCCCACAAAACTATTATTTTCACAGGAATCTGAACCATTTTCAACACCTCTGTTGCTATTCCTGTACAATACTTTACATGGAAGTGCTTCTCTTTGACCTCATTAAAGTTCAGACTGAACAAATGAATGCTACATCTTTCTGTTATTCTCATTGTGTTTTTCAAACCATTGTGTTTTTGGTTTTAGCAGATTTTCTTTTATTTGTAAAGCTCTATATATTTATATTTTATATGCTGGTGTTATAAACAAAGAGCATGTTTAGTGGTGATGCAAATTTGGTCCATTTTTTTCTGTCACCGTGAATAGGGCTGTTTGAGTAGTTGACTCCATGTTTTCTAAGGAAGATAGCTTCATGTTTGGGGACAGAGCCAAGTGACAGTACACGTTCATAGCATGGGTGATGCCATGGACTTTATTTGCAGCACCTAAGAAAAGAGGAAAGAGATCGTTTTATACTTGGGGTAGAATTATTGAATATAGAGGTGTGGTCTTTATTTTTGAATAGTTTCAAAGTCGAATGTATTCATATTTTTGTTACTTATTTTTGGAGATCCACATCATTCCCCAAAGTTTATTGGTGCATGTTAGGTATACATTTTCATCACACTCATCATTGGGAATTTGTACCTGTACATGGTATATCTTGATTCTTCTTTTTTAACTTTCCCTTTTCTCTTCCTTCCACTCCTCCACCTCTCCCTATTTACAAAAAGAACTTTTGATTCCATTTTTCCTTCATTTCTCATATTTTTCTTTCCCTTCTTTCTTTTCTTCTACACCCACCGCAATGCCCATTCACCTTGAAATATTTCCTTCCTGTTTCACATTATCTATTACACATTTTGGTTCTCATTTACACTTTCAGTTTCTCACACCACAGAAACTATTCAGTATTTACACATGTGACTCCTATTTATTTCACTTAAGAGTATGGCCTCAATGTGCATCCATTTACATATAAATATCTCTAGTTTCTCATTTTTACAGCTGAGGAGTACTCCATTTTATATATAAGAAAACACATCTTCTTTATGCACTCAACAGTTGATAGGCATTTGGACTGTTTCCAAGATTACCTATTACAAACTGTGCCACTATAAAAATGAGTGTGCATATATTCCTCTGATATGATGTTTTTAATTCTTTGGGGAAGATAAACAGGAGAGAAATAGCTGGATCAAATGGGATCTCTAATACTATATTTTTGATGGATCTCCATGCTGATTGGCATAGTGGTTGCACCATTTTAGACTCCCACCAGGAGTGAAAAAGTGTTCCTTTTCCCCAATAGCCCTGCCAGCAATTGTTATTGGTTGCTTTCTTCATAGCAGCCGTTCTTTCTGGAGAAGGAATCTCAGTGTTTTCATTTGTATCTCTCAAAGGAGCAGTGATGTTGAACATTTTTTCATGTGCTTATTTGCTGTTTTTACTTCTTCATCTGAAAAATGCCTCTTTATTTCAGATGTCCATTTTTGGATTGGGTCTTTAAATTTGAAGGGTCTGAATTATTATTATATTTTATTGGTACATTTTAGGTATATAATATAATGACATTCATCATTGGAAATTTGAGCATTTACATAACCTCTCTTGGTTCTTATTTTCCCCCTTCCCCTGCTATCCCTTCAACCCCTTCATCCCTGTGTATTTACAAAGACTTTGTTTCCACTTTTTCTTTTTCTCATATTAATTCCATTCTCTTCTTTCTATTCCCCTACCCGTCCACTTACACGTCCCCTTTGCCCCTTTTCTCCTATTGCACATTATCTATTATACATTTTAGTCCTTATTTACACTTTCATTTTCTCACACTACAGAAACTATTTGGTATTTACACATGTGTGTCCTATGTATTTCATTTAAGAATATTGCCTCAATGCGCATTCATATAGCTAATGTCTCTAATTTTTCATTTTATATGGCTGACTGGTACTTCATTTTATTAAAAAACCCACATTTTCTTGATCCAGTCTCCAATTGATGGGCATTAGGGCTGTTTCCAAGTTTTAGCTATTACAAATTGTGCTGCTATGAAATGGGTGAACATAGATCACTGTGCTATGATTCTTTTAATTCTTTGGGGAAGATCCCCAGCAGGGGAATAACTGCTTAAAATGGAACTTCCCATCCTAGTTCTTTGAGGTATTGCCATGCTGATTTCCACAGTGGTTCCACCAGCCTACACTCCAAACAAGCAGTAGAGCAGGGTTCCTCTTTCTCCACAGCCCCACCAGAATTTGTTATTGGTTTATTTCATGACAGAAGCCATTCTTTCCTGGGTGAGGTGGAATCTCAGCATTGTTTTTTATTTGTATCTCTCTAATGACCAGTGATATTGAACATTTTTTCATTTCCTTATTTGCTATTTTTATTTCACCTGAGAAATGTCTATTCATTTCAGATGCCCATTTTTGGATTTGGTCTTTAAATTTGGGAGGTCTGATTTTTTAAGTAATTTATAGATTCAAGATAGGAGACCTTTGTGTGACAGACAGCTGGTGAAAATTTTTTTCCCACATTGTGGGTTGTCTCTTAACACTGTTGGTGGTTTCTCTTGCTGTGCAGAAGCTTTTTAATAAGAGATCCCACTTGTTGATTATTTGTATTAGTTCATTTGCAACTATGGTTTTGTTCATAAAATCATTTCCTACACCAATGTCTTCAAGAGTTCTTCCTAAATTCTCTTCCAGCTGGTTGAGTATTTCTGTTTTAATCTTTAGGTCTTTAATCCATTTATATTTTAGTTTAGTGCATGGTCAGAGACATAGGTTTACTTTTAATCTTTGATAAGTTGAAACCCAATTTTTCCAGCACAATTAATTAAAGTAGCTATCTATCCTCCAGTGAAGGTGTTTGGCTCCTTTCTCAAAGATGAGGTGGCTGAGTGTGTCTGGAGTTATTTCTGCATCTTCTAATCTGTTCCACTGGTCCCCAGGTCTGTTTCTTTTCCAGTACCATGCTGTTTTT